TCAAGCCAAAGGTGCCAGCAGACCAATATATCTTTACAGCAAAAAACCATGTAACTGTTGATTCTTATAGATGTTTTTAAACTAACTGTTCACATTCCTTGAATTCATGATCCATTACACCTGTGCAAACTGTAAAATGTTACCAGATCATTATATACTTTCTACATGTTGAAACGAAGAATGACGCTACAAAGAAATAATAAATTAAATCTCCTTTTTGTATAAAGTTACAGCTTCTTATGTAGACTTTTTCTAAGTAGTTTAAATGTGGACCTATAGCAGTGCCTATTCATTTTACTATTTCCACTAAATGCATAGACTTCCAATTTTGAATCTTTGAATCTCTCTCCATTACTGAAAAAAGTTCCAAATACAGCAATGAAAAACAACAGAAGATAAGAACTGGATTTACAAAGAGGAGTTGGATTTGCAAACCACTATTTTGGTTACATTTTGATTTGATGAGTTTTGTAAGGCTATGTCATTTATCATATAAATTTTAGACACAGCTGCAGTTTTCTATTCAGTCTCTGAGTAAATGTGGAACTTGGCAGCTCCTAGAGATTCATGTCCAAGCAAGGACAAATTACAAACTTCTTGTTATTGCTCAAATGCACTTCTTTATGGAAAAAATAACTTAAACACAGAAATGCATTGCCGTAAGCAAAGAGGAAGCTTTGGAAAGTTTGTGACGAAGTTCTCCTGTCACATTGCACTCACCTTTATGAGTCAGTGTGGGATGGTTTGTTCCGAGATTGTCTTCCCTTGAGTTTTTAGGATTCTTTATGTAACTTAAATTTTACATAATTTAAAAAATGTTGTGTTTAAGGTCTTCACCAAAATAAATGTTTTGAAAAAGATATTTAAAAAAAAATTTTGACAGAAGTGAAGCATATGGCTTCATTTGAGATGTATTTTTATACTGTTTCATTTATTTAATAAAAGAAGTAAACTTTTAAAGAGGATGGTGTTTAAATAAAATAAATACCTGTACGTTTAAAATCTTCAAATTAAATCTTGGACCATTCAGAGTTTTCTCCACTGTGATGGTATTAACTGGAACAGCTTTTTTAATTTATCAATTTTATCAGTGTTTGCATAACTCTAACTTATTATCTTTTAACGAATAAAAGACTGGAATAAAAGTGTTTATCATGATAGGGAAGTTCATAATAAAGTATCACCATTCTGTGCCTCATGGCTTTTCATTTTAACTCTTTAATACTTATCCAACAAGAATGGACACAGTTGAAAGAGTTGGTTAGGTAGCCAATGGGAAGAAAGTTTTCCTGTAAGTAAAAAGTACTCCAGTCTCACTGGTTTTTTTAAAAAACTTGAAAGCCTGTATTATTTACACAGATACACTTAAGGAGATTTGTATTACAATCTGAGATGCAACAGATACTATCTTTTTAAAATACTGCTTTCCCCCAGCTCCTTGGCATGGTTTCTCACTAAGGCTAGCAGGGGAAGGAGCTCCCACCACAACAAAACCCTAGTTCTAAGTTTTTCCTTCTGTGCATTGGCACTGAGAGAACAGTTCAGAGTTGTTGATGAAATCATTATTGTTATGGACATGGTTATTCATACAAAGGAACTTTTAATTGTCAAGGACCTACGTTTGAGAGCACAGGACGGCAAGAGTCATGATATATAGCTTGTGTTATTTCACAATGCTGTAACAATTGTGGATAGAGCCTTCCCAAATCTTCCTTCGCGAAGCCTAGCCATGAATTTCACAATGAGAATGAAATATTTCACATGCCTTGAAAATTACTACAGCTGACGTTTGGAAAAGTTAAAAAAAAAATCCTGGGGCTTTCTTCCAAAATGTAACATCACACACATCGTGCATGGCCAACAGAACACTCAGACACCACTCAGTCACTCAGTTGTGCCTCAGGATGCATCTTTGAATTCTCTCAGTAACCTCTGTACTGCTCCTTACCAGCTGTTTCTGGATTTGAAACTTTGTCTAAATTGCCAGGAAGAACAAGGAGTAGGTATGTCTATCTTTTTTTTTTAATGTCTTATTTTTATTAAAATCATTTATATATTTTCTCTAAAAACCCAAATTTTTATGCTCTCAGTTCTGACTCGTGCAGTCTAGTAAGACTCTCCCTTTCTTTTTAACCATGAAAGTAACTCTGAAGGTCAGTATTAGTTTATGTGTAAAACCAAGATTAATTTTACCTAATTACCCTAACTGGGTAATGAGAATTAATAGTAAAAATGCTGATAGATTCACTGTACATGGAAATTCATCAGAAATCAGCTCAAAGTAAGAAAAGTATGTCATTATTTGTCTAAAAGATGACTGGAATGTGTTAAGTACATAAATTGAAAACCACTCTTGTGGCTAATTGTCCATTAGCACTAAATATTTTAAAATAGTTAGAGAAGAAAATTGTCTTTGAGGAAGAAATAAAATTAAACAACTAAAAAAAAATTGCATTTTCTGTCAAGAGGACATCTGGAGCTCTGAATTTATAGAAGGTTTGCTGTAGCACTCACTCGGACACTGACTAGCAGACTCTGAAGAAATTTTTGCAATGATGAACTCTGCAGAATCTTCGGGCACAATTGCTACGTGAACAAGAATTCAGACTTAGTTGTTACTAAAATCTATTTGTGGTGGAAAATAAATGTTCCTGATGTTTTTAGTTTACCCCATCATGAACGAATTTGTGACTCCAGCCCAGCGATCACATCTGAGGTAACTGGCATAAGCTGATAGCAAGAAGTCATCAGGAAATGGGCAAGAAAGGACAATAAGAACTTCTTTTTCTTCTATATTTAGTAGAAGAAGCAATTCTGATTATGTTTAACTGTTATCTGTGATTTACATTATTTTTGACTTATAATGTTACAGATTTTCTCCCATTGCTCTCATGCCTTAGGCTATAATAAGGTTAGATTGCTACTGTCTCACAAATAGCCCCTTTGATGCTAATGAGCCATTTATTTGCTAAATATATCTCATCTGTAGTTTTATATCTCATTTTAGTTTGTGTGAGGCTGTCTGCAAACTAGGTAATATTCAGACTGTTGTGAGGGAAGATGTTCAAATCCAGAGAGCTGTGTTAACTCAGGCAGTAGCTCAGTTCCCTGTCAAGACTGTCAGCTTGAGTGAGTTTATGAACTCAGATACAATTTAGCTGCTCACTTAATTCTACAATGGTGAAAAATGTTCTGTGCATTAGTACCAAATAGCATGATGTGGAATATCAGTACTTAACTAATTCCTAGAGGTGTCACAGAGAGAAGTATGGCAAGCTGCTCAGATACATATATCACTGAGACTGTATGTATATGTAAAAGAGATGAACAATTGTCCTAAATGCTGTCTTCGGAAACTCCATCCTTAGCTGTGTAAAATTACAGAAACTGAAAGAGCAAAGTTAAATAGCTGCAGCAGAAAGTTAACATTCACAATGACTGATAGCAGAATACTGATTTTTTTCAAATGCATTCTTTTTTATGATTGACATGCTCTACTTGCCTGAAGTGTTAGATGACACCACAGGCTCAGTAATATCTTGCCTACCATAATGATTCTGAGGCTGAATGCCTGTAAAAAACAAGATACAGGCACTATGGTCGAGCATGGCAACACCAGAAGAATGAAGTCAATGCAGGAGTCAGCTCTGACAACTCAGTGGATTTTCATGAGAGGATAAGGTTTTACCTGTCCTCTCACTCATGCACAATCTCACATAGAGTTACCAGAGAGAACTGTGTCCTGTTCTGGGCCCCTCAGTTCAGGAAGGATATTGAGGTGCTGGAGCAGGTCCAGAGAAGAACAACAAGGCTGCTGAAGGGACTCGAGCACAAGTCCTGTGAGGAGAGGCTGAGGGAGCTGGGGTTGTTTAGCCTGGAGAAGAGGAGGCTTGGGGGAGACCTCATCACTCTCTACAACTACCTGAAAGGAGGTTGTAGCCACACGGGGGTCTGTCTCTTCTTCCAGGCAATCAGCAGTAGGACAAGAGGGCAGGATCTTAAGCTCTGCCAGGGGAGGTTTAGGTTAAACATTAGGAAGAAATTTTTTACAGAGAGGGTAATCAGGCAGTGGAATGGGCTGTCCAGGGAAGTGGTGGATTCACCATCCCTGGAGGTTTTTAAGATGAGACTGGATGTGGCACTCAGTGCCATGGTCTGGTAACCACAGCAGTGTTGGATCAAGGGTTGGACTTGATCTTGGACATCTTTTCCAACCCAGTTGATTCTATGATTCTAAATAAAGATATTGTCGATGCCATGAGGGTCTAAATACTTGGGAGGCTGGGACAGCCTCTCTCCAGCTGAACTCAATGAAGTTTTTGAACTGTAGAAGAGTAAATTTAGAGCTGCAGAGACTTTTCCTCCAGGCAAGATTTTGAGCACAAGATTTTGGAGAAGTTATGTTTTATTATTCAAACTGCTGACATTTGAGGGCAATAAGCTGTCTAATCTAAGCAATTTCGAACCCAAAGTTCAGGATGGGAGAAACTGAGAAGGAGCAAAAGAATGCAAAGTTCAAATAACATAGAGAGTGAGCAGCTTTTTCAGTTCTGGGGAAACAGGCATCATCCTGCTTAAGCAGGATGATAGAATACAATAATATATTAATATATATATTATATATATATAATAGTATACACAGCATAGTAAATAAGAGTAAGAGAAAGGGCAGGGAACAATGCAAAGCTGACTTTGTGTCAGCAGCGTGACTCCCTCTACTCTCAGGGAGATGGAATTCTCCTGTATCTGTTCCTGTCATCAGTCCGGAAGAGACATACAGAACTACTTACACTAATTTGGTACTTTCCTTCCGCTGTGCCACTTTAAACAACAGAAGCAAGGAGAGGAAATTTCATAGGATGTAGAGTAAGTTACATCCTTGCTAATACTGTGAACATTTCTCACTGTTGCACATAACAAGTATGGATTGATCTAGCCAGCAGTTAAAAAGTTTGTTACAGCACTCATGGGAGACAACTTTTGCAATTGTATGTTTCTTCTTTGCAGTCATTTGCTCTCATTTGAAAGACGTCTCCTGTTCACTTCGGAATTTTTAAAAAAATGACTGAAACTCCTCTACTGAATATTACCTCCTCAAACCAGAGTGAAAACAGAAGCAATTCAGCTATTTGCCCAGAGCAGGATGACTGGTGGGACATCGTGTATTATATAGTGCCCAAGTACCTCAACGCTGTCTGTGCTATTGGAATGCCCGGAAATGTATTTGTTCTCCTCATTTATTCACTGCACAAGGGCCCCCTGAAGATAGCTGAAATCTACCTGATGAACCTAGCTGTTGCTGATCTTATCTTCCTCATGGGCCTCCCTTTCTGGGCAGAGAACATCAGGAATGAATTTAACTGGCCATTTGGCAGTTTCCTTTGCCGCAGCAACAGTGCATCCATCAGCCTAAACATGTACACCAGCATCTACTTGCTGGTGGCAGTCAGCGTGGATCGCTACTTGACTCTTGTCCATACCTTGAGCCACAGACGGATACGGAGCAAAACTGTTGCCAAAGGGATCTGCTTGCTCATCTGGTTCTTTGGCATCCTGCTCAGCATCCCAGTTTTTATGTTTCGGACCGTGAAAGACTATCCCCTGTGGAATGTTTCAGCATGCACTTTGGACTTCCCCACCCCATCGTGGATAACAGCTGAAAGACTGGTACGCAGTGTAGTTGGATTTGTGTTGCCGTCTACAGCAATCATCTCCCTTAATTTCTCTACCATTAGGTCCCTACAAAAAAAAACAAGAGCACGAAGAGCACTCGGGACAAAGGACTGCAAGGGGCACAAAGGCACGAAAGCTACCAGGCTGATCCTCACAGTGATACTGATGTTTCTTTTCTGTTGGACTCCTCACCATTTTTTTGTATTCCTTGATGCATTATACCATACAGAAGTGATCAAAGGCTGCTTCTGGGAGGAACTGCTCAATTTTGGGGAGCAGTTTGCTTATATGCTGGCTACCACCAACAGTTGCATTAACCCTGTGATTTATGTCTTTGTTGGGAAATACTTCAGGCAAAAGGCTTTAGAAGTTTTTTCACAGTTTATTCCCTGTGGATTTCCTTTGAAATGGGTATCTTTGAAAGAAATGTCATCAAATTTCAATGTGTTTTCAGTCAGGAGTAGTTTAACTTAATGAATATCATTTCCATCTTCATTTTTATATTGCAACTTATTTAATGCCATTGTAAATAGCATTAAAAATTAATATGAATTGCACTGATCTGCCATTTGCAGACTAAGATAATTAGCTACTAAAGTAAATCACTTGATTGCTTATTTGTCCTCAGGTTTACTTTTTTATGTCTGTGTTATCCATCCAAATACATAACATGTGATACTAGAAATTTATACCAAATAACCTAATCTCTTTTACCAATTACCAATTACTTGAAAGAAAAATTCTTTCAAGATACCAGAAAATATTACAGAAAACCATAAGCCAGCTGAACATTTTACTTCATTGTATCTGTCATGACAACTAAAACACCAAATTGCAACAGGTGTTACAGAGGAAATATGAGCTTAATCTTTAGTTGATAACTGCATTTGAGCAATTATAGAATACCTCCAGTTATTTTGAACAACATTTTAAATGGTTTGCATTTTCACAGTAACATGGAAAATCTGAATATTTTTTGTGCATTTCAATTACATTCAGCACATAAATATTGTACAAGATGATATACCACAAAGAAATTGTACATAAGCTGTAAAAAATGCAATGTAACACAGTAGCCTCATCAAAATGACTTTTTTTATCCAATAAAATGTTACACAATTGCTCATCAAGTGCATAAAGATTCTTTTTATTTTTTATGTGCAAAAATACCCATGATGGCCATTGATACAGTATTCTTTTAGAATATCTTTCATCTGAGGCAAATCCTTAGAGGCATATTTATATTTTTATGAACAAAAATTAACAAACTGCATAACATCTCATTTTTCATCATAGACTTTTTCTTTCTTATATTTTGTTTTTGTATTTTGTCTCTTTTCCCTGTTCCTTTTGCGGAAGAGCAAATATATAGTTCTGTGATTAAAAATCCTTGTTGCTACCAAAATACAGACTCTGGTGGTAGAAGAAAACTTTTTCCATCACAGCCACAATTGCAGAGCAGACTTAAGGCAAGTGAGATATCTGTTTCCACAGCTCTAAAAGTATGTGTACGTACAGAAATGGAAAAAGATATAGTGCAGCCTGTTCAGCCAGAAAGATATTGAGAGCACAAAGGAGCATACATTTGTATAACAATTTGTATAACAATTCATTTAATTAGTCATCATAAAACCTGTTCAGTCTTGTACTCACTGTAATAGCACTGCATTTTCTGCAGTTCTTTTTAGTGTTGCCATTTTGAATATGGAATTAATCTTGTATTTGATTGTAGAAATCTACCTGTTCAACTTCATTGCAGTAGGATTAGTGTTAGTTTTTAATGATTCTCTCAAACTTTTTGAATCTGAACAGCTGAAGCCTTTTGAAGACTTAAAAAATCTATCTTTCTGCAATTATGGTTTAGGAATTAAGGGTGAATTAAGGGAGGAAGAATTACTCATAGATTTACTAGTTTCACTCCTTCTGTGACAGCTGTTTTTAAAATAAATGCAAGGCTTAGCAGTTACAACGGCATGTGAAGTCCCCTGAGTCATCTGAGATCAAATCCTCATTCCTGTTTATTGTAAACTGTTGAACACTGTATTTATTTAATAAATCCCCAGCTGAATCCTTAATTAAAAAAACTTTCAAGTGGAGATATTTTATGAGGGAAAAAAAGACAAAAAAAGACAAAAAAAAGGTAAAAAATAAAATAAGCTGAAATCATGAAAAAGAAGGGTAGAAACAGAAGTGCCATTTTCCCTCTATGGATGAGGACCTTAAAAGGGAAAAATATTTTGTCTTGTCTGACTGACACTAGTCCATGTTATGCAATGTACACAAATAAAGGGAAAAACACTTCTTGAGTTCTGTGGCATATTTAGAGTATGATCTAATAGATTAAAAATCAGTCTGAAATCTGAATTTAATGGAAAGCCTCCCGTTTCCTCCAATAGGCAACTGACAAGGGCTTTCATGAAAGTCCTGC